TTTTACCCCAGCATTAATAGCAAAGCTTTAAACAAAGAAAACAACAAAAGCTGGAGAGGATGTGGAACATCTGGGATTGTCCTACACTACTGGTATGACTGTAAAATGATGCAATCACTGTGGAAAATGGTCTGGCACTTTATCAGGTTGGAAACAGAAACATCATATAACTCAGCAACCTCTCTGCTTGGTATACATCCTCAAGAAATAAGAACCATAGCACAAATAAATATACGTACACGCATGTTCATCGCAGCATTATTCACAATAGCAAAATGATGGAGACAGCTTAGATGCCCATCAGCAGAGGAATGGTTGAACCAACTTTGGTATAAACACACAATGGGATATTATGTAACACTGAAGAATAAGGATGCATCTGCAAAATACCACATAGCATGGAGGAACCCAGAAGACATTATCCTGAGTGAAATTTGTTTATTGCAAAGGGAAAGGTATTGTATGAGACCACTGCTGTAAAAAGTCAAGAAGAGGTTTTCATTCTGTAATACGCTTTCTATAATGGTGATGAAGGGTGAGAGGAAAGGAGAATTACTTATGGTAGAGTGCAGACATGCACTTACTTGGGTGTTGGGGAAGGCAGTTAAAGAGACAAGGAAGGAAAAAAGAAGGGAAAAAAAGGTGGGGAGATTTATTTTTTTTAATGTATTTATTGGAAGAGAAAAATGTAGATTATTTTCTCATTAAAAAAGAGTTTATACATTATTTTCATTTGAAACATGAAGGTCAGGTCACCACGGCAGCATCTTCTATGTTGTTATGACAGTTTAATACAGGATAGTCTGACCTCTTTGAAAACATTAAGATTATCATCTTCCTACAGACTCTCTGGGGACATTATCAAATAGTTACACTTGGCTGTTGTTGTTATTACTAATGAATAAAGTGAAAATTTTGAAGCTATCAATGTTACTATGATTTAATCAAAAAAAAAAAAAAAAGAAAGAAACAGGGCGTTGTGGTGCTACAGTCTGTGGTTTGAACCCCTCGCTGATGTACGGAAGACCAGACCTGACTCTGTGCTCTCGTAAAGACAACAGTCCAGGAAACCCCGTGGAAAGAATGGTTCTGTTCTTCCTAGAGGGTCACTCTGAGTCGGAACCAATTCAGCGGGTCACAACAAGAGTTAGTAGATTGAAAGTTGTGTCTTGAACCTTTATCTTGTGGCATTTTCCTAAAGCTCCTTTCATTCTCCAAGACTGTCTCCTGGTTTTAAACCTCACGCAAATAATCCGAGAAATTGGATTATACGAAGAGCGTGCATCAGAAGTGGAGGAAGCCTCCGTAACCTGCGATATGCAGATGATACAACTTTGCTTACTAAAAGTGAAAAGGATTTGAAACACTGAACCCCAAACCTAAACCCACTGCCACTGAGCCCATTCCAACTCATAATAACCCTGTACATGGTTTCTGAGGCTGTACATCTTTACAGGATTAAAAAGCCTCATCTTTCTTCCATGGAGATGCTTGTGGATTTGAACTGCTGATTATGCGGATAGCAGTTCTGTGCTTTTCCTACACTGCCACTAGGGTCCTTACCTCAGCATAAAACAAAAACACTCATGGTGATAGTCGACTGATGAATCCCTTCTCAGTGCATCATAAGGTGCCTCATACTTCACGTTGAGCACCCAATTAAGTGGATTGATGAGTCCCATTTTAATTAATTTTCACAAAATGGTCAAGTAGCTTAAGCTGTTTGTAAAGAGAGGCTAGGACAGAAGATAATACTAAATAATACAAACATAAGCAGAAGGTAAGAAACTGGTTTATCCTACACCTTTCTCACTCTTAGTGCAAACTCTTTGTCAGCCAGCCCTATGATGAAGCTAAAACCAATAAAAATGTCATTAGTTCCGGCAAGAAGTTAGCTGGAGAAATTGAATGTATCAATAGTATTGTTCTAAATTAGAGATTTCATAGATTATTATCAACAGTAGGGTACTGGTGTGACACTTTGGGATAAGAATTGGGCTGCTAACCAAAAGGTCAACAGTTCAAACCCACCAGCTGCTCCCAGGAAACTCTATACAGTGTGGCTATGAGTCAGAACTGACTAGATGACACTTAACAACAACAATATCAACAAAGAACTTTGCTTGAAGTACATTTTTGCAAGTCTGTATTATATTGTGCCTTTGTGAGGTATCTTTTCCAGCTATGATAGTTGTTAAAATTAAAAGAACTGAAATAATTGATTGGATCTTTGAATCTCAGAATCATAAAGTATTAAACCAAAATTTCAAAAAAATGATTTAATTTCTTTTTAATAATAGCAGTTTATGCTGTTATTAAATAAAATAACATTTAGCTATTTAAAACTATTGTTTATTTCATTTTAAATTCAACCTGATTATAACACACAGACTCTACTTGTTGGTAGTAATGTGTATGATGAGTCTTGGTGTGGCACTGTGGGTTAATGCAAAGCCCTCTGAACTGCAAGGTTGGCAGTTCAAGCTCATCAGTCACTCCTTGGAAACCTTATATAGGGTCACTATGGGTCGGAACCAACTCGACAGCACTTAACAACAACAACTATGTGTATGATTCATACATAAACAACTATAGATCTATTGGAAATGTTTTTCTAATTGATGGGGGAACATATTCAAAAGGTTTGCAAATATGTGAAAAGACTACGTTGGAAGATGGATGGTAAAGAAGAAGAAAGCCAGGTAGAAGGACAAAAGGTGCTGAGGGTCTAGATTCAGGTAGCAGCATTGAGCACAGGGAGGAATTTGACATTATTTGGGGATTAAATCAAAGGGATGCATTTTGAAGGTACAGAATGGAGTCAAAGGAGAGTCCTAATTCAGTAACAAGATTGCAGGAGGACTATGCATGAGAGGTCCCTCAATTTAAATATAGGTCTTGGTGTTTTAATACATTTAGGCATAAGAAATAAGGAGAAACCTTGAGTAAGTCCCAGCTTTCTGCCTAGGCAATTGGGTGGATGAGATTTTAATTCACTAAGAAAGGGAGAAAGCGGGAGGCAAATTCTACAAGGGAAACAAGTTTTGGATCTGTTATGTTTGAAGGGCCTGCAGAATCTAGTTTGAAATCTCAAGTAGAAAAATGCACATGTGAGTTTGGGGCAAGAGGAAGGCATTCGGGATGGGTATATTGAATTTGGAATTATGTAGGTGGTAGATAAACCCATAGGATGCTGCTAGTAGAAATGAACAGGAAGAAGAGAGGGCCAAGAACAGAATCACATAAGATAAGCATGTTTGAAGAGAAGAGAAAGAGAATTAGGTTGTAGATAGATAGAGAAGCAAGTTGCTGAAACTAAATTCCAGAGTGGGCAGAATCAGGAGGAAAGGCTTACCAAGGAAAGGATATGGCATAAGGCATTTGCAGAGAGTAATGAATGAGGAGAACAGGGCAAATATATGGAGACATTCCAAGTTAAAGAGGAAAATGATTAAGGAAGCTGCCGTGAGAGGGCACCTACTGAGAATGACAGGGTTGATGGTCTGAGCAGGACGACACATTTGCGAATTTTTACTATTTAAAGGGGAGCTCAGTAGTTAGACTGCATTTCCTCTCTGAGGTCTTCTTCACTTGTGTCTTAATTAGTTTTGGCTTCACTTCAAATTGTAAATAGTTTTAATGCATCAATACCTGTATTTTTGCTAACTTGAATGAAGCATAGATTGCTCATATCAGAAAGTTATTAAATCAATGAGCTGGCTCTGGGAGCTCAACAATTCCTTGGAAGTTAAAAGCCATAACTTTGTCTTGAACAGAGGCCAACTTTGCATTTAAACATGGTTAAATCAAAATTAAATACCACATAATCACAGGGTAAAGCCACATATTTCTTAGACTTGCATGCCAGAATTTACTTTGGCAGTGGTAGGCATTTGATGTTGAATTTATTTTACCCAGGAAATCAGAGTTCTATCATGTCTTTTATCAAACAACAATCATTCACTCAACTCAATCATTCATTCATTCTTCCAAAAGGTATTTATTAGCACATCAATGTGCCAAGCCTTCACCGAGTCCTTGGATATAAGATTGAATAAGATTATGCAATTTCTACACATGTGATAAAATGGCAAAGAACTACACATTCACTTTACATTGATGTCAATTTGCTGGTTTTGAGACTGTGCTTTAGTTATGTGTTGTTGTTAAGTGCCGTGAAGCCAGTTCTGACTCATAGAGAACCTGTGTAACATTTCTGAGGAGCGGCTGGTGGGTTTGAACTGCTCACCTTGTAGTTAGTCCATTCCTTATCCTACAGTACCACACCAAGAAACAATTATTGGGGGAAACTGGAGGAAGGGTAGACATAAGATGTTTCTGTATTTTATTTAGTTTCACATGAATCTAATTATTTCAAAAAAAAAAGTAAAAAAAAAAAGCATAAGAAATAGTCACTGAGTTTTAAGCATCATAAAGTCATGCTGTCGTTATTAATTGCTGTCTGATTCCATCTCATAGCGACCCCATGTGTATAGAATAGTGGTGGTGGTGGTGGTGTGCTGTGGTGTCAGTCTGACTCATAGCGACCCTCCATAGGGTTTCCGAGGCTGTAAGAAATAAGGCTCAGTGAGACTTTGGCCGTATGCCTGGGTTCACACAGGAGCAGTGTATATAACCTTCAGTTCAGGTTTCCTAATCCTAAAATTAAACCACTTGACTTTACTCAAGTGGGTACTTGTTGATAGCATCCAGTTTGCAATGGGTTCTTCATCAGTTTAGCTTTCTGGTTGATTTTCAGGCTTTGGTTGGGAAAAGAAATGCTGAACTGTTCAAGCTTTGGAGTGTGAGCACCAATCTCTATAAAATGACAACACATATGTGGGGCTGGATTTATGAAATACTCAGAAAAACAAATGTAAATCCTGAGCCCAACTACTTAAAAATTTCCAATTTTAAAAGGAAGAAGAAACAGTAGTGCTTGGCCCTGGGCTGTATTGAGCTGGGGTAAGGGTCAGTTACAGGCACTTCTGTGTCCATACCTCCGGGGCGATGTAGTCAGGAGTTCCGCAGAAAGTGTTTGTCCTTGCATCTCCCAACATGTTTTCCTTGCACATTCCGAAGTCTGCTATTTTGATATGTCCATCTTTGTCTAAAAGGATATTATCTAGCTTCAGGTCCCTGAAAAATAAAAGCAAAGCAAAATTTAACTTTAATTAATTCAATCTTCTTAAAACAAGATGACCACAGAGAGGAAGGTAGTTGCTCCAGTCTGAGAGCACCCGTCAAAACTTCCTCCTCATCTACGGTATTGCTCACTGCTTTGCTATTTCTGATGTCTCAGACTTGGAATTTTCCCAATAGCCCTTTCTGCTCTTGTTCATCTTTTCGGGGTCTGATTCAGGCAGATGTTTGAGCTTAATTCATACGTTTTGAATGGCTGATTGAGCTGGTAAAAAAGCTTAATGTATACTGCATTTTTATAATACACGGCTTCAATGTTTGTTTGCCAACAGCTCCTCTCCACCCCTTCCTAGGTATTTTCCTAAGTGCAGCTATGCCAAAAAAAAAATTTTTTTTACATGTTGCTGTAAAAAAAAAAAAAAAAAAGAAAAAAATTAGCATAGCTTGTTTACAAAAATACCTCCAGGGGAGAAGGCAGCAGTTGGCAAACAAACATAGAAGGATTGTTATTTGCATAAAAATTTGGTGATTTCTCCAATATAATGTTAAGAGAGGTATTTAAGAAAAGGTTTCTGTATGTAAAGAAACCGCTAATTATGAAATGCCATATGAGACTGGTCTATGTGTTTGGTATAGGCTGGTATTTAATGCTATACATCATTTACAATTATCTACTTATTTACATGACTGATAGACAAAGGTTAATTTTTCAAATGAATGGCTGGTGGCCACGAGTTCCTCTTCTCTGTTTACCAAGGAGTAGTACAATTTTTGTGGATCTGTGAGTTAATGTATTGGAATGCAGAGTCAGTTTGAACCACAAGGTCGGTGGTTCAAACTCACCAGCTGCTCCCTGGAAATGCTGTAAAGGGTTGCTATGAGTCAGAACTGACTCGATGGCACTTAACAACAAGTACAATTAAAGATAAGATTGACAAGAGGACAAATCTAAGACTCTTTATCCAAGGACCTTTCCTAGAAGTAATGATGAGGTAGAAATGGCCTAAGATATATACTTTATGCTACTTTTTATATATTGGTTTGTGAATAAATTATACTGTACTTAATTCAAAGACCATCTGAAGAAAGCTTTTCTTACTCGATTATAGAATAATTCTATGTTGTTATTGTGTGCCATTCAGTCAATTCTGATCCATAACGACCACCGACACCATAGTCCAGCGCATTAACCCACAGTGCCACACCAGGACTCCAACAAAAGGGAGCAATACTTACAATGGAATATGATTCAGCCATAAAGAGAAATGAAGTCCCGAAAAGGGCTACAATATGGATGAACCTTGAAATATTATGCTGAGTACAAACTCAGTTGCAAAAACACAAATATTTCATGATCTACTTGTATGAAATACGATAGGCAACGTAACAGCAACTGTGAGAATGGCACTATCTGGACAATGTTGTGCATAGAGTCTCTATGAGTTCGAACCAACTGAACAGCACCTAACAGCAGGCAGATGTACAGAGACCACGTTAATTAGTTAATGGTTACTTGGGCTGAGGGGTGCGGTGGGGTAAAAGGGAACTCGTCACTTAGTGGGCACTGAGCCTCTACTAAGGAAACATAATTTGGAAACAAAATGTTGCTGGTTCAACAATAAGATAAATATGACGGGGCTTCAAGAAGTTTGTAGGAAAATTCTATTATCTTTTCATTCCGTATCCCATGAGCTTTTTGAAACCTCTCGTAGAATTAATGTCACCACACTATACATGTGAAGAAGGAGCTCTGGTAGCGTAGTGGTTACAAATTGGGCTGCGAGCTGCAAGGTCAGCAGTTCGAAACTACCAGTGGTTCCGCGGGAGAAAGATTAGGTGGTCTGCTCCGGTAAAGATTTACAGCCTCGGAAACCCTGTGTAGGGTCAGTGAGTGGGAACCGACTCCACGGCACACAACAGCAACTACAACAACAATACATGTGACGGATGTTGAAAAGGCAAATTATTTACTACATACTTACTTATCACAATACAATTAAAAAAAATAAATCTAGATCCAAACTCTATCTAATGCCAGAATAAAATGTCAATAGATTCCTCTCTTTAGGGAACAGGGTCCTCTTAGAGCAGTCTATTACATTTTTAGATAATGAAAAGTGATTCTTAGTGTGTGCATTTTGATAAGAAATGAGTCAAATTATGTCACCCTGTAATTAAAAATTTTTTTTTACATATTGGCTCAAGGATGCTTTGTATTATCCTATTATTTCTATTATTACTAATGCTATCCCTGAATACTTGTAAAGTGACACCAGATTTTTCTCTTGTGTTTCTTTTACCTAATTTAGGAACTTTTACTTCTCACAGGACACGGTTTTCAATATTTCAGCCACTACTTTTCAAATATCTCAAATGTATCAGTTTTCATCTTAAACTACGGTGCATCTCAAACAATGTCCTCTTTGTTGTTGTTGTTAAGTGTTGTCAAGTCGGTTCCGACTCATAGCGACCCTGTATAAGGTTTCCAAGGAGCACCTGGTGGATTTGAACCACCAACCCTGTGGTTCAAATCATATTGCAGTCGAATGCTTATCCTCCTCTAGCATCACAATGTCCTGTTGTTGTTGTTGTTGTGTGCAATGGAGTCGGTTCCAACTCATAGCAACCCTGTACAGGGTTTCCGAGGCTGTAAATCTTTACAGGAGTAGAAAGCCTCATCTTTCTCCCGCAGAATAGCTGGTAGTTTCTAACTGCTGACCTTAAGGTTCACAGCCGGATTCGTAACCACTACGCTACCAGAGCTCCTTTACAATGTCCTGTAGAGTGGCACTATTAGCTTCTGACTCTGTTGTCTTGGCTGAATATATTGCGCTAGTTGTTTTAGTAGCTTTATCACAATAAATGTTGATAGAGCTTCTTGTCATGAAAACCTCCCGGTGCTTAAAAACACACACACAACCACAAACTCTTATTTTACCATTTCTTCTCCTATTGTATCGGTGGAATTTTTTTTTTTTTTTTTAAAGATGCTCGGTTGGTACTACAATGGTATCCAAGTGCTACAGTTGGCACTGAATTCTTTAAACTTTTACTTTATTGGTTTCAGTCAATGGACTTCTTTGAATTCTTGTTTGTCTTTCAACATCCAGCTGTCTCTTGTTTTATGTTATCTGACCAAGAATTTCTGAACTGTCTGAAATCTACTCTTTAAATCTAGTTTTGTGGTTGGTGATAGGTGCCATGGCCTTCATTAGTCATCAGAGATGACTTGGTGTGGAGCAGGAATACCATAGTTTTCACTCCATGCTGAATTTGTTTCTTAGAGTTTGCTCAGACTCCCTTCTCAAAGATTCTGCTCCCAAAGGGTTTGGTAATTAAGCAAGTACCCTTGACCTTAGTTGAGTGGACCAGAGGTAGATGCCTGGCTCATGCTGTACCATTTTTTTGTTTTCCTTTTCTCATGATCTGGGAACATAAATCTTAGTTAGATGGTTAAACTGAGAAAGTACTTAGGGCTGTTTGTGGCTTGTCCCTTAGCATGCCTCTGGAGAAGCAGAGAAGACTAGATTGTTAAAAGGAAACAAAAATGAAGTGGTTATTCCAAGAGCAGCAATAAGAGAACATGTAAACACAAAGAGAACCAAAGAGGACAGGAAAGAAGCTATCTTTGTCTCTAATGGGTTTGCAGCTCTTGGTTCTGATTTCCTAATGAGGCCTGGCTTTTGCTTAAGCAAATGTCTGAGTGTTTGTTAAAACCGCAACCAAACTCAATGCTGTGGAGTCAATTGAGTTTCATAGCAACCTTATAGGACAGAATGGAGCTGCTCTGGAGGGTTTCTGAGGCTTTAATTTTTAAGGAAGCAGGCCGCCTCAGATTCCCTCCTGCAGAATTGTTGGTGGATTCAAGCCCCTGACTTTTTGGATAGTATCTGAATGCTTAACCACTGTGCCACCAGGGCTCCTTGGTTTCATATTCCCATCAAACTTACCATCAAGCAGTCCTGACTAAGAAAATATTTATATTAATCTATGTTTCCATCATTAATTATTTGTCTGTCTCCACTGCTAAACTGCAAGCGCTATGAGGGTATTGTTGTTGTTGTTAAGTGCCGACAAGTCGATTCCAACTCATAGTGACCCTGTTTAGGTGGTACTGTCTGTTATCTGCCATACTGTGACTATCCCAAGAAGAGTATAGTATGTACTGAACATTCAGTGTTTATTGAATGGATTCATCACTCTTATTTCACCAACTAGTGATTTTCAGTTGCAATTAGTCCCTGAGAAACTAAATGTTTCCTTTCATTACTCCCTCCACCTCCTGTGAGAGTAAATTAGTTAGAGAACTTGAGAATGGGATACAGCTCCGCTTTGGTGGAGTTAGACAACGAACAGATGTTCCCAGAGTTGACATCTTCCATCTGGACCAGCTCGGAATGCATCATCAGCAATCCCAGGCTGGTAGGAGGCCTGCAGCAGATCTCACTTTTGTATCAGTTCTCTTTCTCTCTCCTCCTAGGGGAAACACTGTTATGCAGATTCATCAGTGGGTCTGCTGTTAAAATTGATTCCAACTTTATGTACAACATAAGGAAACACTACTTGATCCCACATCCTCCTTATTGTGACTGGCATGTTAAAGTCCACTGCTGAGGTTGCTGTGTACAGCTAAGTAACTCAGCCAAGTCATTTCCCCTCTCTGAGCCTCAGACTGCTCATCTGTAAAATGGATACAGTGCTTACCCCACAGGGCCCTTGAGAGCCTCAAATGGGATAATCTTTGTAAAGGGCTTCAAATATATGGGCTGGGCCCAATTTTATCATCAGTAAATATAATGGTAAGGCCCCTTTGAGTTCTACGGTGCTAAGATAGGAGATGCTACATTCTTACCTTTTCATGTTTGCAGATTCTCAAGTTCCTTGGATTTTTTGAACAGCGAGCCAGCTAAGACCTACAACATTTTTTGAGATACCACTACTTTTCAAGTACCACTTGCTTTTGCCATCGAGTCAGTTCCAACCCACAGCGACCTGGT